ACCTCATTTTAAAAAACCGTTTGGTTTTAATACGAATGAAATCATATGAATTTGTACAAAATAGCCAGTCAGCAAAATAGTTACGTTTCTTTGTGAGATTGGGCTGAATCTTCATGTTTTCCCAAACCTTCTCATGAAGACGTGATAATTTGCCTCCTTTCAGTGCCAAGTAATGTTTAGTATTTCAAAAATAATGTGAACACACCATAAACTTAGATATGTAGTTAATTAAATGAAAATAAATTTTGAAATTACAGTACAGTAGACTGTGTAGATTATTTATTTTTTGTTTTGTAATATCTGTCACAAAATATACATCATAAAATATCTTTTAGCTCTCGTTTAAAATGACAATGAGAATAGCACGTAAAGCAGTCCAGGACAAAATTATCTATTTTTGTGTGTTGGTCCATGAAACGCTGTGTGAACACACCCTAACACAGCTACAGCTTGCATCAAAGCAGGTTTTGCAGTAATTAGACCTGACATGTCACTGTAGGAAGCAGCAGTTAAGCTAAAGTGTCACAACTCACGTGTGATTCTGACAATACTGTATATATTTGCACTATTGATGATTAGCATCACTTTAGTACCTTTTCAGAACATAATGTCTTTTGAACAACCTTATATAATTTCAAAATATAATCAACTGTTTATTTATCTTCGTTTCCATTTGTTCCAAACCACAGGGATATTTGTTATGTTCCTTTGGAAATCTTGCAGTACTTTGCAGTCTGGCTCCACAGTTTTAAAACATCTTTGGGAGTTTCTCCAACACAGGAAAGACAGAGAGGGAGGAGGCAGGGGTGTGAACTCTACGGGGGTCTTACGGCACATGACTCAGGAGAAAAACAATCTCGTGTCTGCACTCAGCCAAGCTTCTTATGACACACGGGCAGATGGCGAGACCGCAAGTTCACCCTTGAGTTAGTACATTGGTAGGAAGACGCTCTCTCGGATGAATAAGCATTTCTACCCTTGCAATTTCCAGCAAACAAGTTGTAACAGGGGTTGGGGGTATATTTACAAGGTGCAGTTTCTGATAAGAACTACATTAGCAGGTGACTAGCCTTGAGTAGTTTGCTTTTGTGTGTATGTTTGTTCGGCTACTATTCAGCAACAAGCTGTTTCCTACTGCTTTGGATATGCCGATTCCCAGAAGCCTTACACTACGTGTTCAGGATATATGTAAACATGCAGGCAATCATCGCTGTATTTTTAGCTGAAGATAAAAGTTGAGTCACATATTTTATATATGCAGTAATTGCTTGGTTCAATAATCAAAAGAGCAGATTCGTGCTCCTCATGTGCAATTTTGCTTGACTCAGCACCGTGCAAGAGATTTTGTGAATCAGATTCTTGGCTGTATGTAGACAATCAATTGGATTTTTCATTGTTGGAAGAGGCTCTGTGAAAATAACGCTGGTTCAGATTAGAACTGTTGCCTTGGTATGCATTGTTCTAATTACTGCTGAATAAGAGCCATTAATCCATTTTCCCAATCTGGGCCACCCATCAGGTTAACTGGATCATCCCAGATACCCTCCTGAGCTCTCTTAGCAATGTGTACTGTTGAGGTCTCATTGCCTTTACAGTCATGTACGTTGCATTATACTGTGCTCAGCATAATTGAGTACACCCCACTTTGAAAATCAATATTTTTATCCATTTCTCGGTAATTATAGGCAATGTAATTTGGTGCATTTAAACAAAATTTATTAATCAGATATATTTAGTAAAATAATATTTTAGTCACCAAACATTAAGAAATTGAAAGATTATACAAATAAATTCAAGTTAAATATCACAAAAAAATGACAACCTCCAAAATTTTTCCAAATTTTTTATTATTTTTCTTTTATTTTCTGCATTTTTCCTCTTTTTAAAAATTCTATTTAATATTTTTCTATAGCATATACAGTACATTTGCGTGTACTAGTTTATGGACCGTTATTGTAAGTTATTTTGTTAGATGAGTTCCAGATTTGGCTTCACTACTGACTAATCTAATGTGTATGCACAAATATAATATTGTATAGCTTCCTATTAACAATATGAATTTAAAAGATAGATTTGTGAGGGGTGTACTTATAAATGCTGAGCATTGTAGATATCAATACATACCTACAGTTGAAAACTAATTTATCAGCCTTCCTGTAAAAAAATGTTAATTATTTTTCAAATATTTTTCAAGAGCTGTTTAATGAAGAAAATATTTTTTTCTACATATTTTTAAACATGATAGTTTTAATAAATAATTTCTAATAGCTAATTTATTTGCCATGATGACAGTACATAACCTTTTACTATGTTACAAGATAGTATTCAGCTTAAAGTGCAAATTATAGGGTTAACCGGGTTAATTAGTTTAACTACGCAAGTTAGGTTAATTAGGCGTGTCATTGGACAACAGTGGTTTGTTCTGTAGTTTTTATAGATAGTGTGCGTGGCATAATATTGGAGAGCAGATCTTACTATTTTGTGGGGTATCCTTGTTTGGATTGAGGGGCTGTTTACTTAAAACTGTTAAATAAAAACTGAAAACTTTGTGTTTTTGCAAGGGATGTTCAGGTGTGGTCACGTGACTCACATTCAGACTCGATCGGAATTGGACGTTACCTCCCGATCAGGACTCAAATATTCAGTTGAAGTAAGAATTATTAGCCCCCCTTTGAATTTTTTTCTTTTTTAAATATTTCCCACATTATTCTTAACAGAGCAAGGAAATGTTCACAGTATGTCTGATAATATCTTTTCTTCTGGAGAAAGTCTTATTTGTTCTATTTTGGCTAAAATAAAAGCAGTTACTAATTTAAAAAAAAAACACATTTTAGGGTCAAAATTATTAGCCCGTTTAAGCTTTATATTTTTGATAGTCTATACAGAACAAACCACCAGAACACCATGAACAATAACTTGCCTAATTACCCTAATCTGCCTAGTTAACCTAATTAACATAATTGCCTTTAAATGTCACTTTAAGCTGTATAGAAGTTTCTTGAAAAATATCTATTCAGATATTATTTACTGTCATCAAGGTAAAGATAAAAATAAATCAGTTATTAGAAATGTGTTATTAAAACTAAATGGGTCTGTTAAACAGAAATTGGGGAAAAAATAAACAAGGGGTCTAATAATTCAGGGGGGATAATAATTCTGACTGCAACTGCGTATGTATGTATGTGTGTGTGTATATATATATATATATATATATATATATATATATATATATATATATATATATAGTAATTGTTTTTGAACACATCTATACTTGTGCAGAAGCATAGAGTTGAACCTCTTTCTTGATTTCTCTCAGAAACAGCAAAGCATGCAGCATGACATCACTGTGTTGCAGAGATGCTATTGGTTAAATGACAGCAAAGTAGAACACGAAAGCAGGTTGAAGCGGAAATAGAAAGTATATCTGCGGTCTGGAGATATTATAAAGTTAATGACGGCAACATTGCCGTAGCAAACTGTGAGATATGTAAACTTGGGATTGCCTGCTGGGTCTTTTAAGTTGAGGTGCTATTTGTTTTTATATTACATTTTTTTTATATATTTACTGTTGCACTAAAGTCCAAAAGTGAAGAATTGATGTTATTTATTACTTGATTGTTCAAGCTTCCTCACAGAAGTGCTTTGTTTGTTAACAGAGTTGTTGAAGGTTAAAATAAGGTGAATTCAATAAAAAATAAGGAACATCATGGATCTGTTACTTCGCTCCTCTTTATTATTTTTCTATGTATTATAAAAAGTATCGGATCGGGTTTTGGTATTGGAAGATACTGAAAAACAAATGACTCAGACTTGAGTGCAAAAAAAATCTGATCGGGACATTTATTTGCCACTAGTGAACAACCTTGGCATTTTGGGGGCCTATAACATAAAATGGTTTGAAAGTGCAATATTTAGAAAATGTTATCAACCCCATATAAACTACAACTTTACAAAGGTTTTGTAAAAAGTGTAAAATCATGTACATTACTTGTTCAGTCTATGCACAAATGAGAACTTGCAAACAAAAAATATGAATGGTGGACTACAAGTAATGTGCGCATGTGCATGTTTTACAAAAAAAAAGCTTCTGATCCACCCTGCATAATTCAGTGTTTATTGTATATTTGGTGAGCCATAAGTCCCTTTTAGTTGGTCACTGTTTGTAATAGTTCGATAATAATTGTTAGCGTATTGTTTGCAAAACATGTCAAAAATTCTAAGGAAAGAAATTCTGTTTTAGTGTTACTCTTTGAAATGCTGAAACCCAATTTTTGCTGGGACAACATGAAGGAATTAAGTTAACTTTTTCATTCATTCATTCATTTTTCTTCAGCTTAGTCTCTGATTTACAGTATCAGAGAGGAATAACCCACCAACTATTCCGGCTTATGTTTTACACAGCGGATACCCTTCCAGCTGCAACCCAGTACTGGGAAACACCCACACACTCTTACACACACTCATACACTATGGCCAATTTAGTTTATTTAGTTCACCTATAGCGCATGTCTTTGGATTGTGGGGGAAACCGTAGCACCCAAAGGAAACCCCGTGTGAACATAGGGAGAACATTAACTCCACACAGAAATGGCACCTGGCACAGGCAGGACTTGAACCGGCAATCTTCTTGCTGTGGGGTGACACTGAGCCAAGGTGCCACCCTTAACTTATTAATTTTCACTAATTTGAATGAATTAAACATAAAACAATTGAGCATCTTACTTGACAAGACTCTTACAGAACATAACAGTGAGTAGTCAGGGACACAGCAAGGCCACTTTAAAGCTGTTTTTTTGGTAAATCCTCCAAAAATACATCAACTATCAGTTGTCCTCCAGGGTCCTTTTCTGACAGTATGCTAAGTTTGTCTGCACTTTTATGCAATGGCCAAGTTCTAGTCATGTGTCCAAAGCCTCAGCAGATTTCAATTCAGTCTCAGGGTGATTAAGAAGGCTTTCCGTTCTATCCTTAGCTTCCCAAGGACCGATTAGCAGGTATAGGACCCCAGCGGGACAAGCACTTCTCAGCTGCCACTTCACTGCAGCTCCTGCTCCTTCTCTGCTCTTATTGTGTGGAAACCCAGAGGAGGCTTTTCTGAGCTCTTCAGTTTCTCTGTTTTAATGGTGAGTCTTTTGCAGTGCTGTGAAGGGGACAGTTTGCATTTGCATTGACGATATTCCTGCTTCACTTTGAATGCAGTTATTTAAAATGTAATTAAGACTGTCTGAGTGACTGGTTCCACCTTGACCTTGGAGAAAGTTTATTGGGTTTGAAATATCTTCAGTGGCAGAGTAATTCAGATTTTCATGCTTAAGTTGCCTTTTTAATGGAGTTGGTAGTTGATTAGCATTAGGTGATTATATTAAAACAGGTTCATCAATAATACTGAAGAATAACTTGAAACAGCAGTGCTGTTTTCTACTGTTCATTATAGGATCGGTCAGTTTTTGTCCATGATGAATGAAATCCATGATACTTAAAACATTTTTACCTCAGTTTTGTTTAACATCTTTTTCATATGCTGTTTTGAGCTTACAGATCTTCTGCATCCTTGGAATTTTCTTGTTTTGGAAAACTAAATTGGTATTGTATGATTTTTAATATTTATTTACATTCTGGCTTCTTCTAATGCCTTCATGAAAAGCAGATATTGGAACAGGCCTCTGGGACATTTATAAGAACTTTTTTTGTGACAGAAATGGTTTTCCTGGTTACAGATGGGTGAATTTTTTTACCGTGATTGGACACTATGACTTTGATCCCTTTTTACACTCAAAAAAACATTTTTTAACTTGTTTAATGTACTCTAAAATGAGCTGAAACAACACAATTCTTGAGATTTCATTGGGACAACTTAATTTTTTTATGTTAAATCCACATAAATTTATTAAAAGTGTTAACTTAATCGATTTGCGTTGGGACAACATGAACGAATTGTGTGGAACCCTGCATTTTTTTCAGTGTAGTTTAGTTTCCATTATCTACTACACTGTAAATAAAAATTGGTCTTAATTCGATCAAGTCATTTGAACTTTATTGTATTAAATATTTATGACTTACTAATAACTAATATGTAATAAAAATATGCCTTAATTATATTGTGTACATTTAATTTAGTTGACTTAACTGCATCTGTATTCTGAGTTCATCTGTAATTCTTTTTTTAAAGGTTTTATAACAAATTTTTTACTGAAACCTCTGAAAATCTTAACATAACACAACATTACATTCTAAATCACGTCTCATTTTTGATCGTACTCAAAAAATTCACAATAACACATATACATTTATTTTCCAGTCTGACAGATTGCTGGGAACTAGAAGTTAACTCATTCAGTTCAAGTTCAGTTTAATACAATCACTTTTTGAGTTCATGTAACTTGGTTCTATTAAGTTCAGTGAAGTTAATTTCATTATTAAGTTTATTTCATTTGATTAATCTAATTTAGTGTATAACTTATACTTTCTTTTTCACTCTCTCTCATATCTATGCATATTTTGTAGATGTATATGTATAAAATATACAATATGTATATTTTTGAAATGTATATTTTAAAGACAATAAAAATATATATGTTTATTTATGTATTTATTTTTTTATTAATTTGTTTTTGATTATTTTATTACTTAGTCCTTGCATGGCTCCATTTATTATATTAAAATAATGTGAAATATGTCTAAATAGATAGTAGTGTATATTGTGTAATATTATTTAATCATGAATTTTGTGTTGATGATTTATTGTCATATAAATAACTGCGATTAATCATCTAATTGTTTTTGTGTGTGTAATTTATAGTATAACACCAATACATTTTGTGTAGATGTTAAATAACAGTAAAAGAATTTTACCAACCTTTACAAATCAAGCCTTGTCCTCCATTTTACTGGCACTTAAATATCTCTTATTTGAATAACAAGATATGACTGAAATTGAATCTGCACTACTAACATAACGATTTCTCAGATAACTGTAGTTATATGAAATAATAACTACAATCCATTTATTAAAAAAACAACTGCAACACTAATTGTATACTAATTTAGTGTTCAATAAATGTTCTTTTTTTGGAATATTTCTTTCCTTTTTGTGGAAAAAAATCTACATTTTGTCATTAATTTTTGATTAATAGAAAAGTTTAAAAGAACATCACTTTTCATGACTTGCCATATAAAATATTGATTTCTTTAAAAAAAAAATGGGATTGACCCACTCTTATAATTTAAACAGTATTGTATTTTAAGCAGTATTATGTGCTTTGAAGGCTTAAAGAGTCTCGTTTGGTCATGTTATGCAATAAACCTCTCAGACTGTATCATTTCCCTATTATTGTTCCGATAGCTAGAGTGGGGGAAAAAACAGAGCTTAAACTCAACGTTTTTTTTTTTTTGTTTTTTTTTTGAGAGATTTATTCTCTTATATCTTATTTATTCCACATATTTACAATTCTTCTTTCTTTAAACAGTCCAATATCTCTTTAAGCACCCCATTAGTTATCTTAAATCACTTGACTTGGTATTATTTAATTTTTGCATTTGTGCTCAAATCAGAAACAACAATAGGCCCCTGCTGCAGCGTCATCCTGTCACATGTTGCTTCCACTTTCTCCCTGCACTTGCTGATAAGCTCTTTAGTCTAATTCAGGCGAAGTCTGCTCTTTTTATCCCTGCTTAGTCTCTGATATCTGTCCATCATTTCTGTGTGTGGAGCTCAGTAATGTTCCCTCTGCTGTAGCGAGTGCCAGGTACAAATAGGATGTGCCTTAGGATGTGCCAGTGGGATTCCTGCAGATGGACCTGTTTAAGGTCACATTTGTTTTAAGGTTTGATTTGACGTCAACACCACAGATTCTTACAGTTCTATTAGCTGCAGTGAGTAAAAGTGATTAGACTTTGCCCATTCACATAAAGTTGTCATGTGTGATAGAAAAGGTTTTAGAAAATTATGTTTAAATAACCACAGATCATGTGATCTAAAAGACAATTAGTTTAACAACTGTGAATAATTCTGTACTGTATTTTGATTTGTACTATCCACTTGTTAAGTTGTGGCGTATGGAATTCTGTTGCCGGGTCCAAGCCGCTGCTCATTTGAATTGAGAAAAATATTAGTTTCTGAACACTTTTAGTCATATCACACATTAAAGGGGATTTTATATTAAATCATGGTGTACACAACGGTGTCTAATGCATCACAGACACCATTATTTTAATAATTTAATTAAAATTATACATGTTCTGGCCATCAGATATTAGGCATGGATATATACATTGCGATCGTGATTTACAAAAGTATTACATCACTTTGTAAACATTTATTATTATCATTTGTTAAGTCTCCACTCAGATTGATAGAGCGCTTGGAACCGGAAGCCGCTTTGTGTGACGTCACCCTTAACAAGCGGATATTTGTACTATATATTTTTTAAGTTGTAAGCATCCAGTCTTTTCATTTAAGCTTGTGAATTTATCTTTGTTTAAGCTTTTTAGCTAGGCCCAAGTTTATAAGGATTGTTCAATACAAAGGGAATATTGTAATAAACAAATCTGCGGTAGTATTTAATTCTTCCTTTTACGATCAGTGCCTTTATGAAAGTCTTTTTTTTGTAAGAAAGTGTGCAATCTGTCAGAATGTGCATTTAAGTGCATTAAGGATTCCATATCCGGGACCAGGCCATATCCTTAGCTGCTGCTGCGCTGATGGTCGTGGGGAGTGGAAAACATGAGTCTGATTCCAGCAACGCTCCAGGGACAGACGAGTCTTCGCTGAGGCCATCTTCCAGCCTAAACCACGGCGAATGAAGCTCTGCACAAGACTTTTGGCCAGCGGAGAAATTAAAATGGTCGTGCCCAACTGAGTCTGGTTCTCTCAAGGTTTTTTTTCTTCACTCCCATCAGGTGAAGTTTTTTTTCCCTCTCCGCTGTCGCCACTGCCTCGCATGGTTCAGGATTGGTAGAGCTACGCATCGATGAATTGGCTCTTCAGTGTTTGAACTCTCAGTAATGATTAAATCACACTGAACTGAGCTAAACTGAACTGAACTGAACTTAAACACTAAAACCTAAACCACACTGTTCCAGTTACTATGACCATTTATGTGAAGCTGCTTTGACACAATCTACATTGTAAAAGCGCTATACAAATAAAGCTGAATTGAATTGAATTGAATTGAAGGGTTTGCATAATTGCTGTAAAGTTCATGCAAATTTTGTTTTGATGAGCTATTAAAATAACTGCAACTGCAACTTTGTCAACTCTCGTTTTTTATTTTTCATTTATTATTGTTATTATAGTATTACAGGTTAGAAAAGGTTAAAAAGTTCTTGCAAATTACTTCTATTTAGTGCAATTTCTGTTGTCAGACCTTTAAAATAAAGTATTAGCAGACATTGAAGGAGGAGTCCAACATAAAATGAAAGTTTGCTATTAGTTTGTTCACCCTCAGGCCATTCAAGATTGTTTTAAGTTTCTTTTTTCTTCAATTGACCATTAAAAAAGATTTTTATTGTTGTTGTTGTTGTTGTTAAAATGTGGTCCTAGGTAATTTTAAAAACACAATGGCCATCAGCACTTACAAAGTCCAAAACAGAAGAAGAAAAGAAAACAGGCAAAACAGAAATACCACTCATGGCTTTTAATGATACACTAAAGTGTGATGAAGTGAAACACTTGATCTGAGAAACTGCACTTTATTTACAACATTATTACCTACAGTTGACCATCTTGACAAATGTGGGAATTTTGGATCGATAAATAATCAACAAATATGGATTGAAAAATTTGGGAATTTTAGTCTTATATTGTTTGTAAATTCATTTCATGTTTTTTAAAACATATTTTGTGAATATGCTTGGTTTTTGTCAATCGCTTTACATTTATTCGTTGGTCATAATGTGTTTCTTTGGAATATATCTCCATAAACAACCTAGTAAATCTTTAATAATTCCTGGTTGACATGTAGATGCAAATGTACATCTCAACAGAATTTCTAAAGGGAATATTAACCCAACCATGTGCCTTTGTGTTTTTGTCTTTCTCAGAGTGAAAGGAGAGGATGCTCGTGATCTGCTTGGCCTTTGAGTTTAGCCCTGCTATGTTCGCCACCCTGAAATCCAACTAGCATCTTCCGCAGGCTAGTTGGATGAATTAAAAATGGCGTCCCACAAGCAAAGCTTTCAATGCTTTGACACCATCACGGATGACCCACCTGTCAAGCCCCCGTTCCCTCATGGTCACTGCTCCTCAACATCCCTCAGAGGCTCCTCAGGCACGACTCGACTGGAGCCGCTGGAGAGTCGTGGATGTTATCTGTGTGCCGATCACCAAGCAGCCAAAACTACAGCCTCAGAGGCTTCAGGAGCTTATTCTAGTCCATGGTATCATTCCCAGACACTTCCACATGCTCAGCAGTATAGCAGCAGGAGGCCTGCTCGACCTGAGGAATCTTCTGGACAGGCTGAAGATCACCATCGTCATCACCATCACCATCATCATCATAGAAGCCCCAGGAAGATTGTGCTTGTGAAAAACAGCGACCCGTCTATGCGGAGGACCATCGTTCTGCACCGCCGCAGCCTCCGCAGTTTGGCGCTCTTTATGGATGAGGTCTCTGAACTCATGCAATGTCTTATCAGGAAGCTCTACACACTGGAAGGCCACAAGGTGAGTCTCCTCTTGAAATATACATCAGCTTTCCAAAGTTTAGGGTCAGTAGCCACATTAAAAAAATCATTGTTGTGTTTTTGAACCATACTATAGCAAAGTGTTTTGCACTGTATATTTCATTATATTCTAAATACTTAATTAATGTTACAGCATAATGTAGTATTAACTAGTGATAAACTAATAAATACTGTAGTGTACATTAGTATTTACAACAGTTGACGGTAGTGTATTGCTGGAATAATTATATATATATATATATATATATATATACAGAAATTATTGTATTGGGTAATTTGTTTACATTACTAGTTAGTTGTTGTATTACCACAGCCACTGTAGAATTACCACAGTACGGTGCAAAATTACAACTAGAATTTATGATAAGTGACTTAGTGTTTTTTTATGTGATAAGATTCTTTTTTTCATACTTTTATTAAGACAGTCGATTGAAAATTACCTTACAGCGATTTATGATATTGCGAAGATTGAGGTATTTATTCATCAGAGAATCCTGAAACAGATGTACAGTGCATCTGGAATGTATTCATAGCTCTTCACTTTTTCCACATTTATATGTTACAACTTTATTTTTATTTACTTATTATCCCCCATAATGATAATGTGTAAAAATATTTTTGTTGGAAATTGTTGCCAATTTACTAAAAATTAAAAGCCTGAAAAATCACATCTAGAGAAGTTTTCACAGTCTTTGCCGTGATGCTCTAAATTGAGCTCAGGTACATTCTGTTTCCACTGATCATTCTTGAGATGTTTCAGCAGCTTAATTGGAGTTCACCTGTGGTAAATTCAGTTGATTGGACATGATTTGAAAATGCACCCAAAGCACACCGCCAAAATATCAGTGGAGTGGCTTCATTGAGTTGCCCAGCCAGAGCCCAGACCTAAATCCTATTGAATCTCTCTGAAGAGATCTGAAAATAGCTGTACACTATCGCTTCCCATCAAACCTGATACATTTTGAGAGGTACTGCAAAGAGGAATGGGCGAAAACTCCCAAAGAGAGGTGTGCCAAGCTTGTGGCATCATATTCAAAAAGACTTGAGGCTGTAATTGCTGCCAAAGGTGCATCAATAAAGTATTGAGCAAATGCTGTGAATACTTCTGTACATGTGATTTTTCAGGTTTTTTATTTTAAATAAATTTGCTACAATTAAAAAATATTTTTTTTTTCACATTGTCATTATGGGGGATTGTGTGTAGAATTTTGAGGAAATAAATGAATTTAATCCATTTTAGTATAAGGCTGTAACAAAAAAATGTGGGAAAAGTGAAGCACTATTCCAGATGCACCGTATATCTACAAACATAATTTTTGCCAATGTTTTAACATTGATAATAATGAGGAATGTGAGATAATGGATGATGTGACACTTTAATGTATGCTGAAAATGTAGCTTTTGGCATCACGGGAATTACATTTTATATTAAAATATAAAAATAATATTTCTCATTATTGCTGTATTTACACCACATATAAATGCCGATTTAGCAAGAAGAGGCTTATTTAAAAACTAAACTAATCTTTTTAAATTTAATTAATATTTTTTAATGTACATGTTTATTCCCTACACTATAATAAATCATCAAGACTGGACAAATAGTGATATTTCATGCGATTCCATCAATCCAGATATTCACAAATTCAACTGTGATGGAATTCTATGCACATTTGAATGTCATGCACATGAAAAAAATAAAGAAAAATGGATTGTAGAATTCAGTCAAAAAATGACATTAAAACAAAAAGTAAACTTTGAACAAATGAAATAAAAAAAATACTGTATAAATATAACTGATGAATCTGATACATAAACATACACCAGAGTAACTGGTGGTTTACTTCGCTGTGGTGACTCCTAAATCAGGGACTAAGCTGAAGGATAGTGAGGAAGTGAAAACTGACAAATTAAATTAGTTAATTATTTCAGTCAATTAAACTAAGTTTAAGAGTAGTGACATTTTAGTAGGTAACTTTTATTCAGTAGATCATTCAAGATTTTTTTTTTCAGATAGCTGTGTGGTTTTGTCTACATCTTAAACTTATATCTGAGCAAAGTCTAAAAGAAAATATTTGAAGATATTGTTTAGGTTTACTTATTTGTGTTTATATGACACTGGTTACCGGTTGCTTTATAGCATTGACTTTTCAAGATGATTTAATTTTTACGAATTGTAAATAAAGTACATGCAGCTATTTACATTGAGTGTAAACTGACCTTAAGTATGGAAGATATGCCAAGTTTTGCATGAGAAGCAAATGTGCTGAGGATACAGAGGCCTCTAGTGGTCGAAACTAGAAATGATCTATCAAGCTTTGATACAGAAGAAACATTCAACAAATCTTTTATCAAACCTCATAAATCCTCCGTTTGCAATCACAGCTGGCATCTGAGTAAAAAACACATTTACAGGAAACTAGATATGTGTAAGTGACGCCACATCTGACAGCTGGAAAGTCCCAGAAATGTGATTTCTAAGCTTTTGATTTTTGCACACTATTTTATCCAAGTCTACAAAAGCAAAGTGACAGTCGCCACAGATTGAGCTGTTTGATTTATGAAGAGCTCATAATGCTGAGAACAAGATTAGCAGAGCAGATCAGTCAGCGCAAAGTTCATTTTGGTTACCATCACTCCCACTTGCGCTTAAGGGCAAATGCCACAGACCACGGAAGAGGAAAAAATAAAGAATTACAGTCTGCAGGTGGTTTGGGTAGATAAGAGGTGGACAGGGTGGCCCGGGCAGTGTAAGAAATAGCCCCCCTGGGACTGAGCTATGGCAACCCTGATAAAAGGTGAGAGGCTAGGAGTTTATACAGTGCGAGGGCAACCTCAGGCACATCTCTGGGCATTGGCATGCAACTGTATGGCCCAGTATGTCATGGTCCTAACGGTGGCATCATGCTGTTGGCAGAGAAAGTGCTGTCGCTTTAAAAGGGGAACACTTCTTGGCTCGGAGTCCGCAGAATGTCTGGAGACGATCCAGGCATTTCCTGCCCATCAGAGCTGGACTCAGTAGTCATTGCTGACGATGGTCAGTGCTGCTGGTCCTCTGCTGCTCTAGTTCAGGCACATCCTATTAGCACTGCCACAGGCATGTACTTCCCATAGAAAACATGCTGTAAAGTGACACACACCCCTCCACAGGGGCCTGACTGATGCATGGATAACATTACGAATGGCACCGAGACAATGCCAGAAATAGCTTGAAGATCACTAGAGTAAAGGTTTATTTGTCAGAGGCTGGAAAGTTGTGCTTTGTACGTAAGAGAACAAGAACAAGATCTAGCTTGACCCCTGTGAGTCTTTGTAGATCGAACGGTTTGGTAACACTTTGCAATATAATAAGCTATAAATAATGCTTAACCAATTATAAGATAATCATGAGTTGTTAAAAAATTTAACCATTTATTAAAGGGTTAGTTAAAGCAAAAATGATCATTGTGTCTGGGCGATAATTCGATAATCATAATTATCACAATATATATTTTTTTCGATAAAACGGTAAAGACAGTTCGATAAGTGTTCGATAATATTTACGCACTATGCGTAACGCTGCGCAGGCATTTTGCAGCCTGCCCTTCCGGGTGCCACACGCAGTACAAGTTTACAGCCATACAGTGTTAGTTACACTTGGAGGAGTAAGAAAAAAATAAGGTAAAAAAGGTCAGAGACATTCTTGACAAGAAACGTCACTAAACTTCAGTAGTCTGGAGCTACTTAGTTTTTTTGCAATTCGACACAAAACAAAAAAAACGTGCACTGCAAACTGCACAGACGACTCGTGTCATCATAACAGGAAACCTGTTTAATCAATACCACCTAATGAAGATACTAATAAATTTACAGACAAAAACAAATGTTTGTAAACCAACGCAACTACCCAGCAGAGTTTCATGTCATGAATTTCGAAAGCTGTGCCTTACGAGAAAACCCCCTGAAAAGACAGACGAATGATATGACAGACAACACAATCTCAAACACATCTCAATGAACACTTGATGCTTGCTGTAAACTACAAGCTGCATTTAAGGGCATTTGTTACGACATTGATAGGAACTTTTGTTGTCAAGCTCATGTTTCCTTTTTAATATTAAGATAATTTCTTTGAAATCTGTAATAGCACTATTGTCCCTCATCTATGGTAAAATAACCAGCCAGAGGAGAAATTAGATGCTCAAGACATAATCTTTAAAATAATGACATATTAAAAATGCAGCAAATATATGACATATGTTTACAATAGCAGTGGATCGTTAATTAAATCCTTATTTCCACGGAGCAAAGCATTATCCACCACAGTTGTTTAAGACGGGCACAAACTTAAAATATACACACTTAATAAATTTTTCTTTGAAAATGTATCTTTTTGCAACAAATTTTGTCATGTATAATGTCTAGCTTAATTCTAATTTAGTCAGATATCTACAACATAAACAAGAACAAATAACATCTGAGGTGAAGCACCAAAGTATAATTGTATATGCTTTAGCACCAAAACAATCCATTAAACTGTTTTCACGGTTTAATTTATTAAAGAAGCGCAGTTTGAGCAGCATGAGCTGGACAGTCTTTACAAACTCTGCTTTGGCCTATTCATGCCAGTCCATGGGATATAATTGGTTAAAACACCCATGGATATAATAGTTCTGCGCATAAGTGAAGTTTATTTATAAACTAATTTCGAGAGGAGCACAGGCTTATGATTAATAGCAACCGGTCCTCATTAGCTAACACACGATACACCAATCAGACGATTCCTAAATCACTATAAATAATCAGAGTATCTTACTTTAGCCATCTTCGTCTTGAAGAATCCCCCCCTTCCACCCCTACTCCTCTCCTTTCCTTGTCAAATCATCATGGAGGCCCAATGATTAGCATCATTGCCTCACTGCAAGAATGTCACTGGCTCAGATCTTACCTGGCAAAGTCGTCATTTCTGTGTGGAGTTGGCATGTTCTCCCTGTGTTTGCGTGGGTTTTCCCCGGGGTCTCTGGATTCCTCCCACAGACCAAAAACATGTATCATAATTACATTGGCAAAACTAAATTGAAATCATAGACAAACGTTGAATTCGGCATACACTCTCTATGGCTATTCATGATCTACATTTACCAGTATCAAGCAGGGGAGTTCTCGAGACCTACCTGAGCTCAGACTCCCCTCTCGCCCTGCAACTGGAGGGAGCCCCGGGCTCGAGAATCTCACGAGCTCAGGGCTCTCTCCCGGAACAGCATGCCAAACACGCTTTAAAATTAAGCATAACTAAACCTTTAAATGTCCATCCTTAATCAGTCATCAATAAGGTCTATCGATTAAGGGGTTATTGACAATAATCAATAGATCATCAAGTAATCATTAGCATTCCTAAATACAATATATTAAAGGATATTTCACCCTAAATTCACCATACTTACCATTAAAAGGACAGTTCATTTAAAACTGAAAATGCTGTCACTGTTAGCTCACCTTTTACTTTTCCCAAACTTGTTTTATTTTTTTCTGATGTTGAACAATAAAATCTAATAACTTGTAGGTAATGTTGTTGAAAACTTGAACAGTAAATGATGAATTAAGATTGTTCTTTTGTTTATTATTTTATCATTAATATTGTCAGGCAGCAACACATTTCACCAAATGTGTTAAATCAGCTACACAGAGCGATTGGCATGCTAAAAATCTTTTAAAATTAATAGATATAAAGATTTGACATTTATTGTGATAATTATCGATATCGACTGATATGAAAAAAAAATTTATTGTGATTAAATAAATCATCGCCCAGCCCTAATTGTGTTATTAATTATATTCACCATCATGTCGCTCCAATTACCCGAGACCTAAGTTCGTCTTTAAGACACAAGCTAAGATATTTTGTTTGAAATCTGAGAGCTCCCTCATCCTCCGTAGACAGCAACGATCCTGACTCATTCAAAGTCCAGAAAAATATCCCAAAAATATTCCTTGAACTGACCCTATGGCTTTAGCGGTTTAATGGGAATATGATCAATCTACAAGAAGACTTTTGTGTGCAACAACTTTATTCAACTTTTTTTTTTTCCTCAATGTCAGTTTAGGGTGCACATTTACAGGAATGAGTATGCTGAATAAAGTTTTATTTTATGTGCCCACAAAAGATGTGTTCAATTGTGTTCACAAAGATGTGTTTATACTGTATATCATAGGTGTCAAAGTCAATTCCTGGAGGGCCACAACTGCACAGTTTTGCTCCAACCCTAATCAAACACAATCATCTGAGAATCTTGGAGCAAAACTGCGCAGAGCTGTGGCCCTCTAGGAATTGACTGACACCTATGCTGTACATGTTCATTTGTTGTTGATGCCGTCAATATTAAGAAATTGTTTAAGTGAATATTTAACTAAGATTATGATTATCTGTGGTTTAGTTAGGAATTACTTAATGCATATTAGTCCACCCGTATTGTAAAGTGCTGTTGAACAAGATGAATGTATGGCTTTGTAAACATTGTAAAGTTTCTGGAGTGACAACAGCATTTAAATACATAGTGCATAGACGCATAATTTATCATTAATGACCCAACTCAGGATTTGAAATAGTGATAATGATTGACATTGGGATAAATATAGCAATATTCTGGCATCTCATTTGTTTGGTATTCACTATTTTTGACCATGGTAATGTTAAAGTAAATAAAAACTCTTAATGTTCAATGATTTTATTGAATCAACAGTCAACAAAGAAGTCATGTTTTGTTTATTTTTCAAATGTTGTTACTGTACCTACATTAAGTGTACTCTCAAAGTGTTGCCATATTTACGTAATATAATCATGATTTGAGCTTTTTTGGTCTAAATGGAATCAGGGTTTATGAAAATAAAGAAGTATACTGGTGCAGGTCACAAAATTTTGAGATGTCGTTTATTTACATTGAAAAAGATTTATGAACTTCAGCTAGACAGTAATATTCCTACAAAACACATTGATGTGGTAGAAAATTAAGCATGCGACAATAACTGTTTTTAAGGTATACTGCGGTTTGGAAAAGTCAAGGTTTTAAAACCGCCAAAATGTTCTGCTATACCATTTCTATGGTATATGTAATATTATTTATTGATTTATTATTAATATTTTTTTTTTTAGGACAACAGTATCTCCGGAAGAAAAGCTACCCAAAGATGCGATTTCAATTGTAAAGAATATTTCTGTGTTTTTGAAACTAATAAAGACCGCAGAGGTCAACGATTCATTTGATTTATTTAGCCTGATATGTTTACTGCTCCAAAATATTTGACATCTTTCTCAAAAAAAAAAAAAAACTATTGTGTTGAAAGGGGATTTAAATTTTTTTTTTTTACCCAGACATTTAAAAAGCCTATGTTAGAGCAATAATCACAATACCGTCAATCCGTGATATTTTTATTTAAGGTTATCTAGGATAAATAACAAAACGGGAGGGTGGTGGGAGACTTCCGGGAAAAACAGGGGTGTTGGCAGGTGTGCTCACAAATAAACTCGATAAACTTGCGCTGAACGCTGTTGACCAATTGCAACAGGCTGTCATCGGTCCAATCAGTGCAGATTAGCTTTGCGCTAAGGAGGGGTTTGGGAACAAATAAATTGCTGAATGAATCAAATGGGAGTTACTAAGATAATTAGGTAAAAATACATGTTTTTTATAAGACAATGAAAGTGTTTTTTTTTTTTTTTTATACCTTGCATGCATATTAGACTCTTGTTGGAGACCCTTAAAACCAAAACATGACCCTTTTTTAATGCATAATAGGGGCTCTTTAAATTCTCGTTTTTCCAAAAAGAATTAGTTTAACATTTCATGTACAATTTAATATCGCATTCCCTTGATTGTCTTGCACCCTTTCTTCTTTTTAAATATAAGTGAATAAGTCTTTTCCTTCTGTTCTTGTTAGATATGATCAAGATATTCCTTTACTGGTATTTTTTGCACAGCAGTGATGCACCAGCATCCAGAGAATAACTATTAATCTTGCTCAAATCAGAGCTATTTTGAACCAGCAGAAGCAGGTCAATGCTATGAAAACATACAGTTTGAAATACTCACATCCACAACAGTTCCAATTAATTATCTTCAAACCTGCTGGAAAATTGAAAAGTTTTAAAGGCATAAAAGCGCAGAGCATGCAGATTTAGCTTAAAGTTAGTCATGTTAAAGAGTGATATGAGATGTCGATGTGGGTACTTTTTACTCTACGTATACCATACATTCTGCTTTCATGAGTCTGAAATCTTGCACAACACCTTTTTGGATTGTTTAAAATGGGAGTTCATCTGTAACGAACTGTCCTCACATGAACTCTGGTATGATCTGAATTGCTAATTGAAGAAATGGAGTTTTTTGAGGTGACCTATAACCTAATTGTTTGTAGATGTCTTGTTTATGCTGACCCATGGGTATCAGCTCGTGCATAGTCGAAAACACCCTACACAATGGATCACACACATTTTCAGATCACTGTTTTCATGATTAAAAATTAGTGTGGGAAAATGTATGCACCAGATGGGCTGACTTCCCAGGGCCATTAACCTTTAATTGGTATGGCTTCGATCCATCATAGCACATTTCCTCATCAGAACTTGGCAGTTGGAACAATCCCTGCTGACTTAATTTCAGCCAGATATTGCTGATCTCCATCAAATTGATTATGTCATATTGTAATCAACCGATTTGTGTTTTTCAGATTGACAGTGTGCAAAGTTTGCTGCAGTGCCCAGGCGTTTTGGTTTGTGTGGGACGTGAGCCTTTCCACCCGCTTCTGTTGGACAGCTTCAGGAAACACTCTTACGACAAACTTCCGAGGCTGAACACAAAGTCACGCTCTAGTGTCTGCAGCGATGAAAAGGCAGCCAAGAAAAATGGTAGGTCACACCGCAAAAAGACATTTTCTTTATCATTAATCATCAATTCTTGTCTTACTTTATTATTTGAAACAACATGGGCCAGATTTATTATCAGCTTATGCCAGGATTCAGTAAAGACACACAGTGAAAATTTTGTGCTGAAAGGAGTGGACATTGGGACTCATTCACCAATATCTTCTTAAGAAATTATGTTAATTTGTCTCTAAGAAAAATCTACACCAGATTCCCAAGAATTGTTTTCACCTTAATTTTTAGGAATCCTGTGTCTTTTTAATTGAACGCATGTGCTAGTTTTCTTTTTTTTTTCAAATTAGCATAGGAAACGCCCAGCAATTTCCCATAAAAAGGCATGTCATCTTATCAGCTATAAGGAAAGGTGGGATGTCAAAGAGATCCACAGAACGTCTTGATTACTATAATTAAAAAAAAAAAATGTATGGTATATATCTTATATGGCATGCAAATGATTTTATATGTAGGCTATAACTCGTGTTCCGGGAAAACATTATTACAGATGCAAAAGACGAGCTCTGTAATTACTGTCAATATAGGCTAAATGAAACAATTTGATCTATTTTTTTTTTTGTTATACAGATAACTAAAATACATTAATGACATTTACATTAATTTTTTTGTATAACCCACTCTCCCAAATACAAAAGACGCTTAATTATTTTCTTTATTTACAGGTGCACGATTGTCAGTGTTGCTATTTGATACATTCTTATTTTTTGAGAATTATTTATGAAAAAAGTTACTCACTATCCTTGCCATTTTGAGAACAAGCCAGGCGCACAAAATATTGGTTTTAAATAGAGTGATCATCACAGAATAATGCTGGATTTTGTTAGTCATAATTGCTGATAGTACAATATATTATTTATTTATTTATTATTTTTTTTATAATTTTGAAAGGCCACAAGTACATCACATTAAAGTACTACAAATTGTCAACTGAATTGTTCTTCTAAAACTATCATACTCAAATATGCATTTTGTACTTAGAAAAACTCAAGTGAATGTCAGAATCTTTGTGAAAAGTGATTTGTTCGTAGGAATGGTTGGTGAATGAGGCCCAATGATTTTTTTGATGCTGACATTATTGTGTAGGCATTTGTAGTTTTGTATTATATTAGACACATTTTCAAAAGGAGAGAATAAAAGTGAACTCTGAAACATTGTTTTTTTTTTCCAGAAAAAGCATGCATTTACCTATTTTGTGCCTATGTTATTAGTAGATTACCTGCATTTGATTGTTATCAACTCTGCTTTTTTAAAACCAGTACAAAACGAGCTGATGGTCAGCCTTTGCTACATCTCTCAATTATTTGCAAACAATAGATTAGACTATGGAGCAGCGCGGTGGTGCCATGAGTAGCACAATCGATTCACAGAAAGAAGGTTGCTGGTTTGAGCCCCGGCTGGGCCAGTTGGCGTTTCTGTGTGGAGTTTTCATGTACTCTCCATGTTTGCGTGGGTTTTCTTTGAATGCTCCGGTTTCCCCCACAAGTCCAAAGACATGTGGTTTAGGTGAATTGAATAAGCTAAATTGGCCATAGTGTATGTGAGTGTGTGCAAGAGTGAGTGGGTGTTTCGCAGTGTTGGGTTGCAGCTGGAAGGGCATGCGCTGCATAAGTTGGTGTTTCATTCTACTGTGGCGACCCCTGATTAATAAAAGGACTAAGCCGACAAGATAACGAATGAATGAAATTAGACTATGCAAGCGACACAGTGGCTCAGTGGATCGCTGATTCAAGTAATTTCTGTGTGGAGTTTGCATGGTCTCCCTGTGTTTGCTTGAGTTTCCTCCGGGTGCCCCGGTGTCCCCCACAGTCCAAAGACATGCGTTATAGGTGAACTGAATAAACTAAATTGTCTGTACTGTATTTGTGTGAATGAGTGTGTATGGATGTTTGCCAGTACTGGTTTGCAGCTGAAAGGGCATCCGCTGTGTAAAACATATGCTGGATAAGTTGGCAGTGCATTCCACTGTGGCAGCCCCTGATGAATAAGTGACATGGTGATTGACAAGTACTGTGATAACTTAGTCTGCTGCTGCCCATTTAATATGTTCACAGACAGCTTTTTAGACCGTACTCACACTGGGTACAGTTGCCTCGAACCGGGCCAAAGCACGCTTTGTCCCCCTCCCGTCTCCCCCGACGGCCTGCGCTCACACCACAAACGGGCTTCGGCTCGCTTACGTCATCGCTGCTGCGCTGTTCAGTGAGAAGCACTCTCCCACTCAGCAGCACAGTGGAGATTTGTCTAGTTATATCGTTTCAGTCGTTTGATATGCCATCAAATATTTTGCCAAACAGATCCGCCACTTTTGGCGCTCATAAACAATCATAAAGCTCTCGTGCTGCAGGAATGAGGAGGTCTGCTGAAGCCGCGCAGCTGTCGTGCAGTGAGGGGTTTGCGTCTTTAATAAACTACGGCAGTTTGCGTTCACTGAACAGTAAGAATGATTAATAAATCCATATGAAACAGCCCCTTAAAAGTCACGTCTCGCTTTCAGTTTTGGGCTGAGCCCAAGTGAACCGGGCTCAGGCAGACCTCTTCCAATCGGGCCAGGGCCGGCCAAGTGAACCGTGCTTGAGCCCGATTCAGCGCACTCACACTTCTCAAACGATCCGGGAAACGGGCCTGGGCACGGTACGGATGGCATAGTGTGAGTAGGCCCTTAGTCCAGATGTGGTCGCAAACCGACAACACAGTTGGTTTACGTCGATGCTAGTTGTTTGGCGTCAACTAGGTGTGTCCCAGTCTTTCGAGTTAACTGCTCTTGTTGGATTGTTTTGGAAATAAGCTGAGTAATAAATCTGGATCCATCTATTTAATTTAAAATTAATGATATGAAAAAGGTTGTTTTAAATTTGTGCCACATTCATGAAGTTATTACTTTGTATTTATTAATGTTAACTTATTTACTTTGTTTACTTTCTTGTAGTCAACTTTGGACTTGAAACAAAGAGAAGTGTCATCCACCCAAGGTGTGACTCAAGCAACAGGTCTGCAAGACTCTCTGCCTCATCAGAAAAATTGTTTCCAAATCGACTTGACTCATTACCACCAGGGGACAGAGGTGATTGTGTCCATGCAGGTGAAAATATGATGGATGATGATATTGAAAAGCGAGTTCTGGTCAATAAAGATGGCAGCCTGTCAATGGAGATGAAAGTGCGTTTTCGACTCTTGCACAACGAGACATTGCACTGGTCCACAGAGGTCAAAAAGTCAAAGAGCACTTTTAATGATTCCCATTTAGTATCTGATGATGCTTGCTCAGTCTCGCATGGCAGTTCAGAGAGCTGCTCCGAAGCCGACTCTCTTTCTGCTGGTGAAGCAAATGAAACATACCACACAAAGCGTTACCAAAGACATTTTGAAGAGTCACACTGTCAGCACTGCTGTGCTCGCTGTCAGGAATATGACATCTGGAAGAATCCTGTACCTCCCAGTCAAGGAGCTGTAAGACGCATCAGATCCTCAAGCTCAAGTGCATCCTCAAGAAGAATAGTGTGCAAAAAGGCATCTACTGACAGCATTCGCACAGTGTCCAGTGAGGAGTACACAGAGCATGTAGTGGAAAAGGCAACTTGCATTCAACAGACCTTCGGACAGCAAGTAGATACAACAATTGAACAGTGTACCATCAACCATTGCTGCAGTCGAAGTGAAGTATCCTCAATATCCCCTAAACCAAAGAGCACAAGTACTGTAGATGATAGGTGTGAGAACATTCATGCATCTGATAATGAAGAGAACAGACCTGATGTAATTTCCTCCAACCTCCCTAAAGATCATTTAAGTGTTCAGATCACTCAGCAAGTAGAGGAAGATGAGAGGTCTATATCTGTCTTGAGCTCTTCCTCACAAATTCTAGCATCACTGAAGGAGGATCAAGATGATGACGTCAACCCCACTATCTCGAGAGCATCCCATGACCAACAGGATGATGAGGAGAGCAAAGATCCTGAAACAAACCAATGTTCTGCTTCACCCTGTAAATCTCCTGCATCTCTGAGGCATCTGTCACCAAGACCACCGAGCAAGGCTTCATCTTCAGGGCGGTCTAAAACTTACAGAAAGTTTGCCAGTCCTGAAGTTGGCACTGAAGAGGTCAGGTCTGAAGCATCTGCTTCCCCCAACATTTTGTCTGGACCCAAAACCTGTAAATGTGTAGTGACAAAGGACACTCCAGAAGCTTCTGAAACAAATGATGAGGTAGAAGACATGCAAGTTTCAGTAACTGAGGAAAGGGCACTAAGTGCAACTTCTACAAAGTCTCTGTCTGAGTTATCAACCTCGTGTGAGAATGGAAATCCTGCTGAAATAATACCAGAGAAGCGATCATTAAGTGCTCTCTCTATAAAATCCAACAACTCTAGAAAATCAGTTAAAACAAATGTTTTAGATTACGATGAAAGAGCACTAAGTGCCACATCAAACAAGTCTCAAAGAGTCTCAGGTGATGTGTGTGAGGAGGAAAACCTAGAAGTAAGAAAATCAAGTGCCATGTCTGTCAACTCAAATATATCAGTGAGATCCAGAGTATCAGATCATGGTATTGGTGAGCTCGGCAAATTACAAGACAATGTTGAGAAAAGGGCTGTAAGTGTTGCGTCATCTAGGTCAAATATTTCCACTCATGGGGCATTTGAGGAGGGCATAGAAGAAAAAGCTTTGAGTGTGAAATCTGGAACATCAAACAAATCTGGAATTGAAGAACTAACACATGACGATCCAACAGAGGAAAGGGCTTCCCGTCCTGTTTCGATAATATCAAATATTTCTGCAAGATCTAAAACCTCCTTTGAACTGAGTGAGACTGAGGATTACAATCAAGACCGAGCCCCCAGCAGTGTTTCCCTCAAATCAAATGTCTCACACAAAACAAAATCTGAAATGTCAGAAGAAATTTCATTCCATGAAGAAGAGGAATCTTTAAATTCAATCAACACTTCTGTTGAATTAAACAAACCTGAAGATAAAGGAGCTCATCAAGTGGAGCTACATGTGGAGAGATCTCCAAGCTCTGCATCATCAAAATCAAATATCTCTACAATATCCAGAGCATCTCAATTTTCAGAAGTAAACCAAGACGAAATACTGGAAAAAGAGGATGATCAGGAAAGAGCATCAAGTGCCATTTCTGTAAAGTCTTCTGTATCTGCAAGATCAAGGAAATCTGAGACAACACCAATACTAAGATCAGGAGACAAAATCAAAGATCGGGCTCCAAGTGCTATGTCGCTCAAATCAAATGCTTCATTGACATCAAATAAGTCCAAGATTGAGAATGAAGAAACAGAAAACAGAGCTTCCAGTGCTCTGTCTGTTAAATCGGAAGCTTCCACATTGTCAAAAAAATTAGACATTGAACAACTGGAAGAAAGAGCATCAAGTGCATTATCGGCTAAATCAAATAGTTCTAAAAGATCTAAAAGGTCCAAAATGTCAGAGGTAGGAGGAGATGATGATCGATCATCTGCTGTTCATGCAGCATCACGTACCTCTGAAACAGCCCCTAAAGAAACATGTGAAAGCTCAGATAAATCACCAGAGGAAAGAGGGCCAAGTGCATTGTCAACAAAATCCAATACCTCTGTTAAATCAAAGAAATCCAATGTATCTAATATGACAGCAGATAGTAATATGGATAAAAATAGAGATGATTTGAGATCTGCTAGTGCAATGTCCTCTAAATCTGACATATCTGCAAAATCAGAATTCATCACAGAAGATCAGGTAGAAACAATTGACCATGCAGAAAAACGAGCCCAGAGTGCTTTGTCAGCACGGTCTAACCAATCAGGAGTAATTGTAAGTGAAGAAGTTGAAGTTGCAGAGGAACGGGCTCTGAGTGCCATGTCATCTAAATCCAATGCCTCTGGAAGATCAAATAAGTCCAAAACTTTAAAAGTGCCAACTGCTTCACCTCAAAGAGCAGAACGCCAACTAGATGAACGAGCTCAGAGTGCACTTTTGGAAAAATCAAGCATTTCAGCAAGATCCAAGAAGTCTAAACTTTCAGATGTTTTGACTGATGAGCTTGTTGATGCAAAATACCAAGAAGAGGAAAGAGCTTCAAGTGCTTTGTCTGCAAGATCAAACATTTCTGCAATATCAATGAAGTCAAATGCTTCTATGACAGATGTCAACACTGATGACAATGAACAGGGGGACAGAGTAGCAAGTGCAGCATCAGTAACATCTGATATTTCTACCAAAACCAGTATCTCTGCAAAATCCAAGGCATCCAAGGTTTTGCAAGTCGAACCCGAAGAGCCTGATGATAAAGAAGAGATTATGAACATAGATAGGTCTCCAAGTGCAATTTCAGTAATATCTGAAGCCTCACCAGATGAAAATAAAGTTACAAATGAAGGAGAAATCCAAGAAAGGGCTTCAAGTGCTTTGTCTGCAAACTCAAACATATCTGCAAAGTCGAAAATGTCAAATGCCTCTGCAATAGATGGTAACACTGATGTCGAAGAAATACTGGACAGAGTATCAAGTGCAATGTCAGGAAGATATGATATTTCCACCAAAACTAGCATGTCTGCAAAATCTAAGGCATCAAAAGTTTCAGAAGTAAAGGCTGAAGAGCCTGATGATGAGGACAATGAAGTAAAAGCGCCAAGCATTACTAAATCCTGCATTTCAGTAAGATCCAATAAGACAAAGAATTCAGTGAAAGAAGAGGGTCAGAATCCTGACAGATCTCCAAGTGCAAGTTCAGTAATATCAGATGCCACACCTGATGAAAATGAAGACAGGGCTTCAAGTGCTTTGTCAGCAAAATCAAACATTTCTGCAAAATCTAAAAAATCCAATGCAACAGATGTTGAAATTGATGACAAGGAAAAAGAGAATAGAGTATCAAGTGCAATGTCAGGAAGATCTGCTATTTCTACCAAAACCAGTGTGTCTGCAAAGTCCAAAGCATCAAAGGTTTCAGAAATACAGCCTGAAGAGGTTCATAACCTAGATAGATCTCCAAGTGCAATTTCAGTAATATCTGAAGCCTCACCTGAGGAGAATAAAGCAACAAATGAGGGAGAAATACAAGAAAGGGCTCCAAGTGCACTCTCTGCAAAATCTAATATCTCTGTAAGATCCAGCAAATCAAAAGTTTCAGAAATAATCATAAATGAACCAGAGGAACAAAAATCAGATAGGGCACCAAGTTCTAGGTCTCTGAAATCTGAAGTCTCTGGGAGATCTGGTCATTGGCCTGACATTGAAAAAAAAGATAAGGAAGTAAGGTCAGAAAGTGCTTTATCCACTGTTTCTAATCGTTCTACTAGGACAGACAAGTCAGAACAATCTGATCTAATCAACAATATAGTGCAGAAAGCACCAAGTACAGCATCGGTTACATCTAAAACATCTGCAAGATCTAAGAGGTCAAATATTTCAGGAGTTGGTCCTCAAGACACTAAAAACATTGGAGATGTACGGTCATCAAGTGGAATGTCTGCAAAATCTGGTACATCTGAAAGAACAGCTAAGGAGGATGAAGAGGCAAATGCTCTTGTAGAAAGAACAACAAGCTCTTTGTCTGTAAAGTCATGTCCATCTACATGCACTGTATCCAAAGATGGTGTGGACAAAAAAGCAAAGAGATCAATGAGCAAATTGTCAGTTAAGTCAAATATGTCCTCGAGATCCAAGAAATCAAAAGTTTCTGAGGTCGAGGATCTTACACTGACAAACAGTGTAAAAACTCCAGTGTCGGATCACTCAGAAGTATCTAAACCTGAAAAAAATAACAAATGTGTTTGTGGGACATTAAACAAGTCAGCAAGTCCAATTGTGTTATCTGAAAGAGACTCTGACTATGAAGAAGTACCTGTAAGTCCTCTGTCTAAAAAGTCAGGAAAGTCCCAAATCAGTTCAGCAGGTTCGGCCTCTGAAAGAGTTTTAACACCATCAAGCACTTCAGTGTCTATTGGGATATTTGATGACCACGAAGCTGATGACGGTGAGGAAATAGATGTTGTTTCAGTAAAATCAAGAACATCTGAAGTATGTGGTGATTCTGAACAGTGTTTATCAGATTCTCCCGTACGAATTGCAAATGAAGCAATACCGGCATCAGAGGAAAGAACTAAAAGCTTTGCATCAGCCAATTCTAACATTTCTAGTAAATCTAAGTCCAAATGTTCTCATTGCAGCTCTGCATGTCATACAGACACAAACCAGGACATAAATGGTATAGCAAGCAATACATCCTCCAAAACAAAGTATTTAATAACATCACCTGATGGACAGCTATCAGCCAAGATTCGTCCATCTAGTAAAGCCTCTGGTATGTCTGCACACACTGAAGTCACAAGTCAAGAGAGAACAGAAAGTCCAGATGTTACCCATAAACCTCAGAGCATCTGCTCAAAATGTAGTTCTACTCAACAGAAGAGTAAAATGTCACCCGTTTCAAGTGCCTCTGCAATCTCACACTCTGGGATATCTAAAACAAAAGAAGAACATACTGCAGAAATAAATGACAGACCAAAAAGTAATATATCTAGTTCATCCTCTCAAGTAAACAGTCAAAATAATAATGCTGAAGCTACAGTTATTAGTGGAAGAAGTGATAAATTAAGCACCAAGTCGAGACAAAAAGTTGAGGACAGTGTGCCCAGGTGTCATTCAGCAACTTTATCTTTAACCTCGGGAAACCAACTAAGTCCCATCCCACCAAAATCTCCCAAGAAATCAAAAAAACCTGTTATTCTGCTTGGTGGCTCTAATGGTAGTGCGGTATCCCAGAGCGGGCCAGCTAAAGACCCGAGACAAGAACAGAATGACCATTTAAATGCAGTAGCAGCAGTAGAAAAACCTCGGTCTTGCACATCTAATAATAATATGAGTGATATTAAGAGTGAAAAAAGTAGCAAATGCAGGAAAAGAATGGGAAGTGATTCTTCTTGCCACAAGATGGATGATGACATGTCTGAGCTGAGCCCTTCTTTCTTGCCTAATGCCTCCCCAACTGAGGTGGTGAATGAATGGCTGAGGAAAATCCCATTGGACACTGCCTTGTGTGACTTGGCTGATGATTTCCATGAAAAGTGTGAATCGACAGAGCCACTTTGCACATCAAATATGCCTATGGGAGATGAAATTGATCGTGAAAGATTGCAGGGAAGTGATGCAACCAAGCTTGAAACAAAGAATAAGATAGGAGATGATCATGTGTTAAATGCAGAAGAAATTGTTGATGATAAATCTCCTGAAACTGTTGAGGATGATTTGTCTCAGAGAGAAGATAAACCAAAGGTGTTTAATTCCTCAGTTCTGGTGATGAAAGTCCTGCTGAGCCCCAAACTCGATAGATGCAATAGCTTACCTGAGGTATCTCCGGTGTATGGACGTAAACTCTCTGCATCTGCACAAGGTCTTCTGGATTGTTTGGCAAATCTTCAGTTGTTAGACTTTGGTCCTTGTGATGAAGATGGTAAAAAAGAAAAATACCAGGAGCTCATGAGCATGCTTAAATCTCTTTGGCTTTGTGACCCAAAAAACAAGAAGGAGACATCAGAAGAGAAAGGCAAACATCTGGATGAGGAATTGAAAGCCAGATCATCCTCAGGTGTAGATGTTAACAGTGGCTCGACAGGTTCTGGGAAAAGCAGTGTCAATGATGGCACCCAAGTCCAACCTAACACTGATTGTGAAGGCTTGGATACCCTGACAAAGGTACAGGAAGTTGAAGAAACAGTAGAAGAAGAAACTTCAAAAACACCAGAGTCAAAAAATGATTCAGCCACTCCAGATGTAGCAAATCAAACTCAGATGACACCAGACAAAAATGTAGAGAAGCTAAAAGATGATGTTCCAGGCTCTGATGAGACAATCAGGAGTTATGATAGCCCAAGGGAACTCATTGAAACCCCTCTTTCATCAAACAAAAGTTCTGGGAATAATCCCAAAACGGAAGAACCCCAATCAGACCATCAAGAGGACACAAGTTCAGGCAGCGCTCCAACACTACAAAGAGGTCAGTTATCAAAAAAGATTTCTCAAGATCCAGATCCTGTATGGGTTCTGAATTTATTGAACAAATTAGAAAAGCAATTTATGACTCATTATGTGGATGCAATGGCTGAGTTTAAAGTCCGTTGGAATCTGGATGAAAACGAGCAGCTTGACACTATGATATCCGAATTGCAAGATGAAGTCCAGAGACGCATACAATATAGTATTGACAAGGAGCTAAAGAAGATCCATGGCAGAGCTGGCAGGCCAAAGCCACCAAAAGAAACAATATCCCGTGAATCAACCATTCAAACAGAGCAAAGGCGGAGGCGTCTGAAGGTGATGCGTAACCAATCTATTGATCCACAACCTGCTAAAAGTGACGATGACTACACAATGACAGGCACAGATTTCAGCGATCAACGTAGTGATGATGAATATTGTCCTTGTGAATCATGCTTAAAAAAGAAAATGGCATCAAAGCCTGTGTTACCTGTGGAAATACTGAATTCAGCACCTGTGATGATGGACTTTGATTTGAGAAAAATACTCCAGATAAAAAAATCGTCTCCAGCCAATGAAAAGATTGAGGAGAACGCCAGTACATCTACGTCCAGTAAGATGGAGGAAGAAAATGTGGGGCTTGAGGCTGTAAAAGAGGAGGAGGAGAAAGAGGGAGGAGAAATTATTTTTTCTGGTATCCAAGAAATTAGGGAACGAAAAAGTGAGGAGGGTGATGAGGAAGACAATGCCTCCAGCACTTATGTAGAAGATAGTTCTGAGAAACAGTCGAATGCACCTAGTCAATTACGGGCAGTTGTGGATGATGATGATGATGATGATGATGGGGAAATTGATAAGTTGTCTTATGACTCAATGACTGCACAACATCAGGCAGCAGAACAAGATGAAGATCAAGAGGAAGATGGGATCGATTCTGCTGGACAAGATAAGATAACTGAAGATGAAACAGGAGAATTAAGTGAGAAAGATAATGATGACATTGCAGAAGTATCTGAGAAGGCTGAAAGTGAAACTGCAGAAGATAGACAACCTGCAAAAGATGAAACTGATGAAGGTGACTCAGTTATTGACACAGCAGAAGAGAATGAGGCAGCTGAAAGTGAAAGTGCAGATGGACAAACTGCTGAAGACAAAATTAAACAAGATAAACAAACCGACGAAGATCAAGCTACAGTAGATGGGGAATCAGTTGAGGAAAAAACATCAGATGGTGGACAAGCTGCTGAAGATAAAACTTCAAAAGATGGACAAACTGCTGATGATGAAACTGCAGAAGACGAACACATTATTGAAGATGAAACTGCGGAAGAAATTGAAAAATTTGAAGATAAATCTTCAGATGATGGACAATCTGCTGAAGATAAAACATCAGAGGATGGACAAACTGCTGATGAAGAAACTGCAGAAGATAAACACTTTACTGAAGATGAAACTGCTGAAGAAATTGAAAATTTTGAAGTTAAAACTTCTGATGATGGACAAAACGCTGAAGATAAAACTTCAGATGATGGACAAACTGCTGAAGATAAAACATCAGAGGATGGACAAACTGCTGATGAAGAAACTGCAGAAGATAAACACTTTACTGAAGATGAAACTGCTGAAGAAATTGAAAATTTTGAAGTTAAAACTTCTGATGATGGACAAAACGCTGAAGATAAAACTTCAGATGATGGACAAACTGCTGAAGATAAAACATCAGAGGATGGACAAACTGCTGAAGATGAAACTGCAGAAGATGGAAAAATTACTGAAGATGAAAAAGCAGAAGAAATTAAAAATTTTGAAGACAAAACTTCAGAGGATGGACAAACTGTTGAAGATAAAACTTCAGATGACGGACAAACTGCTGAAGACAAAACATCAGAGGATGGACAAACTGCTGATGAAGACACTGCAGAAGATGAACACCTTACTGTAGATGAAGAAACTGCAGAAGAAATTGAAAAATTTGAAGATCAAACTTCACATGATGGACAAACTGCTGAAGGTGAAACTGCAAAGGAAAGTGAAACAGTTGAAGATGAAACTGCAGAAGGTGTACACACTGCTGAAGGTGAAACTGCAGAAAAATGTGAAACCCCTGAAAATCAAACTTTGGAAGATGGTCAGATAGCTGAAGATGAAATTGCAGACCAAGGTGAATCAGTAAATGGTGACACTGCAGAAGACCAGGAAATGGCTGAAAACAAAACTGTGGAAGATCAAGAAACTGCTGAAGATGAAACTACAGACGATAAAACTACAGAAGATGGACAAACTGCTGAAGATAAAACTTCAGAAGATGGACAAACTGCTGAAGATAAAACTTCCGAAGATAAAAATTCAGAAGACGGACAAACTGCTGAAGATGAAACTGCTGATGATAAAAATTCAGAAGATGGACAAACTGCTGAAGATGAAACTGCTGATGATAAAACTTCAGATGATGGACAAAGTGCTGAAGATGGAGATGCAGAAGACATACAGACCACTGAAGATGATGCTGCACTGAAAGGTGCAACAGTTGAAGATAAAATATACGAAAATAAAATTGCTATAAAAGATGAAACAACTGAGGATGGAACTGCAGACGAGTGTGAAACATCTTCTAAAATTGAGTCTGTAGAAGATGAAGAGATAGCTGAAGCTGAAAGTGTAGAAGAGAGCAACAGAAGCAATGATGAAACTGCAGAAAATGGTGAGACAGCTAACAACAATAACAACAACAATGCAGAAGATACGCAGACTGATGAAGCTGACACTGCAGAAGAGAGTGATACAGGTTATGAGGACACCACAAAAGACAGTGAGACGGCTGAAGATGAAACTGCTGAGGGGACATCAGCTGAAGAAAGAGGAACTGAGGAACAAAGAGCAGATGATGATGATGAGACTGGAGAAAACACTGATGATGTTGACAATACAGGAGATGTCTCAGCTGAGGAAAAGGAGACTTCTGAAGCAGAATCAGAAGATGAAGGAACCACCAATGCAGAATCTGAAATGCATGAAGGGAAAGCTACTGAAGATGGATCAACAGAACAAGATGAGAATGCTGAGATAGAGCCATCAGAGCAAACTCCTGATCATGAAACAACTGCAGAAGACACTGACAGGAGTCAAACAGAGGGTGAAGATGAGGACACTGTCAGTTGTGAAGCAGCAGATGTTCTTTCTAACATTGAGGACACAGAGAGTCAAGATGTTTCAACTAATCTTGAGGTTGTTGATGGAGATGAAGAAAGTGATAAAGAAGAAAACGACTTGGCAAAAAAAGCTGGTCTTGTTTTCAATAATGGCGAATCAGCTGAAGCTGGTGACGAAGCTGAGGATGAAACTGAACCAGATATGGAGACAGATGAAGGGGAACGTGATGGGAACACTCCAAATTTACAGCCCATGTTACAGCCAAAGCAAAAAGATGGCAAACCAGATGGAGCAGCTTCATTAAATGTTTTGATAAACCACAACTCTGAGTCTGAGGATGGTGCATATGCTGATGGAGAAGACTCAGAAACTGAGGAACACAGCCAAGTCATAGATTTGAACTCTGAGTCAGAGAATAAACCACAGAGGAAAACTGCATTCAAGACCTTCAAGCTGCTCGTAAATACTTTGAATTTCCTCAAAGTTGCTGGTAGTGGACAACCAAAGAAGGATGAAGATGACAATGAGGATGAAGACCAGGAGACTCCAGAGGATGGGAGTGATAATGCGGAAGAGAGTTCTTGTGTGGAAAAAGACGAGGTGGAAGAGTTAAATCAAAAAGAGAAGGGCAAACTCTCAGATATCACTGAGGACACAGGAGAAGAGGGCAACCAGACAAATGACACTAATGATGGTTCAGAGGACAGTGAGTTGGAAAATGCCTTGCAGAAGCAGATAACAAAGTCCTCACTGGAATCTCAGCCAGGTTCCTTTGAAGAAGTTCATGAGGAACCGACAAAAAAACAGATGGGTTCAAATCATTTGCAAACCAACTTTGGTTTTCAACCAATACTTCCACAGCATCAGAAAAAACCAAAGTGACCAAGCTAAAATGGTCTCAGAGAGGGTGTTACTGTTACTGAGGGTTGAGTCCTGCTACTGTGACGTCAAAAGACATCAAAATCCCTAATTTGGGTTTTTAAAATGGGGGTTTAAATTTTTTATGAGTACAACAAGGTCTGCAAAAACAAATTTAAAGCAGATTCATTATACTTAAAGAAACTGTAAATGTTTTTAGTAAACTCGCCGGTCCTACTGTACCCAACCCGCTCCGAGCTGGGTCACTGCACCAATGTAACCCTCGCCGATGCTACACCTCCCAACCAACTTTGAGCTGGGATTGAACCGGCAACTTTCCACATGGGGGTTGGTTGCTCAAACAAGGAGGCTAAAGACCATAGTCTAGCATCTGTCGCTTGTGCTCCTTTTAGGGGTCTGAGTAAAGTTTACCTGCACAGCACTTCACTAGTTGGCCTCTGTTACAGTAGCATGCTGTAATGGTCATTCACACCATCCATGATAACTATAAATAAAACAATAACTATATTTGTGTCGACACTAGCATACAAAAACAAACTTTATTTTTAGGTTATCCTTTTTCTTTTTTTTTTGATAACCCTGTTGTAACCAGCAGGTTTCCTTAGCGAGGTTTCCTCGCTTCAAGAGCATCTGTGCAGTGAATCTAGCACATGTAATCTGTAAAATTAAACAGGGAATTTTGCAGTCGATGTAGTGAAATAAAAACAATACAAATTATTTTCTCCCAGCAAACATAAAGGAGAAAACATAAAGGAGCTGAAACTACAGCATACTAGACATCTGAGGTACTTTTTTGCTTCGGTTTGCTATTGTGGCCTGTGTAACTTCCATTTGTTCTTATCATTATCTTCAATTGTATAACCAATTATTTTCAAGATAATTTTATCTTTATAGAACCTTTAAAAAGAGCAACAAGCAAAGGATCTCCACAATGTCGTAAGTTGCACAAGCTCTTTTTAGTCTGATGAATTTTGACTCACTGTCAGGGTTTTATAGATTATTAGCTGGAAATATTTTTTTCTGAAACGATAAATGGTATAATTCCTCTACATCTTTATTCAAACAATTTTTAGAACAACATCTTTATTGTTATCATCATAGTTATTGTCCTTGGTGTGAACAGAAGGTTTTGACATGGTGACAATACACTATTCATCTTACCCTTATAAATCCTGCTTTTCAAAAGCCCTTTGGATTCCTTATTTTATTTTCCAAAGAGTAATATATAATGCACTTTACTTCTAATGATTCCTTAAAATATGCAGATTATATATGCAAACACAAAGCATTAGTGCTGAGGTACTGTAAAAAGGGAATTACTGAAACTTGAACAGCAGAGGAAGCTCTGTTAGCTTTAATGATAATAAAACCTTTAGAAACTGTATTCAATCAATAACAAAAGAACATATTTAATTGCAATTATTTATATAATTCAATGATTGTAAGCCTTAGCCACATAAGGGACTGTTAATAAATGTATCAGTCAATGTATCATATACTTTGTTTTGCTGCTGCAGTTTTAAAATATATTGAAAGACACTGTAAATGAAAATTCAGGTATTATAGTGACGTAATGGAAATCAGGAGACCAGATCTGTGTGAACGAATGAATGAGAATTAATGTGTGTTGTTGTGAAAGTGGTTGCATATGTTATGTTAAATGTTTCCTGCATTGTAGCAATATGGATTATTTATTAATATGATTTACCTAAAGGTTATTTGGGGGAGATCATACCTTTTTAAAAGGTTAAAGCAAAGCATTTGTATCCCTTCTAAAATACATGACAGAATCACCATCTGAATTAGTCGGAATATGCATGCTTACTTAAAGTAAGTGCAGTAAATGCACAGGATTAACATCACCAGAAATCATCAAATAAAGAATACTGCGTATTGTAAGGACTGAGGCGCATACAATAAGACTTGCCTTAGATGTTTTGCACACAACACATAAAGGATGTACGTCTATAGGACTGAGGGTTTTGTTCAGACAAAACTATGAATTACACTGATGCAGATGATGCGAATGTGGTTCCTTCATTGCAGTTTATTCTCTGCTGGCCAAATGGTTACTTGTTAACTTAAATGATATTAAGTCCTTGTTACTTGAATGTACTAATTTCCTGCCTAAAATAAATATATTTAAGCTTTATTGTTTTTATTTTTATTTTTTTTATTTCGTATGTTATTTTATTTCTGACTTGATGAAATGAATCAAAACTTGACAAAGTCCGGGTGCTCCTCATACAGTAGAATTGATTAGAAAATTGACTTACTTGCTTTAAAAATGCAGAAGCTACAACACTGTGTGTGGTTGGAGTAGATTAAGAGTTGATTAAGAGCCAAAAATGTTCCAGTGTTAAAATAAGGTCTGAATCTTTAGGATGTTCTTTACATGCCTACATTTATAGTAGTTAAGTTGCTTAATTGAATTACGGGGTTATTGTTATTTAAGTCTGTCGCTAAAGCATTAGCCAGATCTAATAATGGCTCTCTGTGGAGACACTTGCCATACTGTTGACCTGACCTGAATGATAATCCGAGACAAGGGTTATTATTTAAATAAGGAAACAAGGAAATTATTTAAATTGTTTTAAGAAATCAAAGCAAGTATAGCTGTATAGTACTGCATTAATTGAAATTTCATTATACTTTTCTCATTTTATTCTTTTTCAATCACCTCTATTCATCATTATATATATATATATATATATATATATATATATATATATATATATATATATATATATATATATATTCACTCATTTTCTTGTCAGCATAGTCCCTTTATTAATAAATAAAGCGGAGTGAACAGCCAACTAATCCAGCATGTTTTTACGCAGCGGATGCCCTTCCAACTGCAACCTGGGAATATATATATATATACTAATCTAATTATAATATATATATATATATATATATATTTTTTTTTTTTTTTTATACAACTTTTTAAATTAATTAATGCCCTGACATTGTTTAAGAATCTGTTCTAGACTGTTCTATAATTTCACACCACATACATACAAACTCTTTTAGATTTGTCCTTGTTTTCAAGCTCCAGAAATGTTGTTCTTCTCAGATTATTTCCCCCTTGTTTTTCTTCAAAAAACTTTTGTATGCATTTCGGAAGTAATTTATTCCTAGCTTCAAACTGTGCTTTTTTAAGTTAACCAAATCATTGAACTTTAGTATCTTCAATTTAGAAAATAAAGGATTTGTATGCTCCAAATACCCCACATTTTCAGTCTAATTACTTTTTTCTGCAGTGTATGAAAGGATTGTAAGCTAGATTTATATGTATTCCCACAAATTTCAACACACTAACTCATATATGGCAACATAAGTGTAATAAAATAAATAAGTAAAAATAAAGGTATGCAGGTTGTCACTGACAACGTGGCAGCGCAGGAGGTAGTGCTATTGCCTCACAGCAAGAAGCTCGCTGGTTCGAGCCTCGGCTGGGTTAGTTGCCATTTCTGTGTGGAGTTTGCATGTTCTCCCCGCGTTTGCGTGGGTTTCCTCTGGGTGCTCCGGTTTCCCCCACAAGTCCAAAGACGTTGTACAGGTGAACTGGGTAGACCATATAGTCCGTAGTGTATGAGTGCGAATCAATGTGAACGAATGTTTCCCAGTGATGGGTTGCGGCTGGGAGGGCATCCGCTTCGTAAAAACGTGCTGGATAAGTTGCCGGTTTATTCCGCTGTAGCGACCCCAGATTAGTAAGGGGACTAAGCTGAAAAGCAAATGAAAGAATGAGCTGTCACTAAGGTTGTACCTTTTCAAAAGGTACACATTTGTACCTAAAAGGTCCATATTAATACTTCAAGGGTGTATATTAGTACCTAAAAAGTACAAAACTGGTACTCTTAATTTTTTTTAGGTACTAATATATATTTTGAGGTACCAATATGGACCCTTTATAATACATACATTGATTTATTGTCCAGGATAAGTCTTGCTTTATACACTATTGCTACAGTTTTTAATAACTTTCATATCACATCATTTATTTGCGGTTTCCAACTAATTTCCAACTAATTTCCAACTAATGGTCCAATACAACACCAAGAAACTTAATTACATATACTCTTTCTATAGCTTCATTATCAATTTTTAAATCTATATTACGACATTTTTACTAAGTTTTTATATTTGGCCAAAATCGAAAAAAGGTTGTCTGTTTGCAAAATTTTTTGGGCACCATGTTTCTCAGTGTAGGTAGTGGTGAGATTACAGACCTTAATTACTCTCTTTTGACTATCATAGTCTTTCTGTATGTATAGCTCTTGTCACTTCACACATTTTTCCTTCAATAAAATGCATGCATGACAAACACCTTACACTACATTAGTGTTCAGTAACCCTTCAGTCCACTCACATCACAGAAGCCCTGATGCTTTGGTCACCGTGCCTTTCAGAAGTTTTGAGTAAGAGCAGAATTATTTCAAGGGAGCTGACTTCGTCTCTGAACCTTCAATAGATCATACCGTGACTTTCATGACACAATAAAAAATACCCCCTGAAAATATTGAAGGTGAAAATCAGCAAACTATTAATAACCTGACCCACCTCATCCATCAAGCACCTAGTTAAAGAGTCAATTCCCAGCCAGTGAGACACCTGAAACAACCTGCGTTTTGTTTTTGCTCCTTAACTTCGCTGTTTTAAACCGGCCGACCAGTTCACAGAACAGGGGCAGAGCACAAGGAGTCAATGACGACTCCAATTACTCAAGTGAACACTCCCCAAATCCGCCATCACCTTTCCTATGCGTTCATCTCAAGGTAATATTTGCAGACTAAACGGTATGTATATGGGACTTTTAATTACTGTCTCCTTCTGACAGGGTAAGTGTGTGGCTGGTTATTTGAAAGCGTCCTGAGAGACTTCATTCCCTGCCTTTGCAGTGCTGGAGTCACAGGTACACACAGCCCCATTGGACAAGTCTGATGGATGGTTCTCTCTCGTTGAGTTTCCATCCTCTGCTTCCGGAGGGAATGTGACATAAATAATTGGTGTCAGTCCCATCGACCGAGTGCCACACTCGAAGGCGGGGCTGAAGCAGCTGACAAAACACAGCTGTCTGATCTCACAAGTTCTCACCACATCTTAGAGAGAGAGAGGGAGATGATGGTGATGAGGTGATCAGACTGTTTTAGCAGCATGCGGATTAACATGCATAATTAAGTGTGCTTTGCTAGTATGCAGGTAATTTAGAAGTGATTTGGGGATTACTGTCTTTTCCTTAATAATCTAAATCAAGAAATCTCTTAAAGGGATAGTTCACAGTATAGCACATTTATGGTATATGGGCCATTCGTCAACTACAGGCACTTTTATACTTGTGAAGTTGAGTAAAAAAAAAACTTGTTTAAAATTAACCCAACATAGCCTCATAAGATTAAACAATTTGTCTAGTTTTAAGATCTGGAAGAGGACAAACTTAGATAAGAAGAGAACTGATCGCGAACTGAATAAATGTCTATTCCACCACATCTCAATATACAGCTTTTATTTCAAAATAAAATAAACTATGGCAGTCAAACATTGTCTAAGATCACTTTTGTATCCAGTTTACCCAATTTTCCCACTATATATAATAATTATACATTTGTTAATGAAATAAATTAGTTGTATGCTGAATTGTATATCTGTCACACTCCAAAATGTAATATTAATTTGGTTAAGAGCTTATTAGAAAATAAATAAACGGAATTTGTATATTAAATAGAGCATGAACTTATACATTGTGAATACACTTTTAATGAAATACTTTTTTAAATGTGTGTGGTGATGGAAATGACATTTGAACAGTTTATAGTGAAAAAATGAAAAATAGCTTCACCGATTAGCTTTGAATTGATACTAGCCTTTCATGTATACAAAACACTCATATATACCTTAATTTTGTTTGGTTTTAAAAACATCTTTGAAGGTACAAAATGAAATGACAGAATAAATGTATTTCCTAATCAAGCAATATTTACCTTGATTTTTCTTCATGTGTTGATCAAATTTAAATTCCCTCCATCTTGACCATGTTCTCAGAGACTATTCATTTTCACTGAAACCACCTAAATAATCTTTGACACACTTTTAAAGCAACATTACAGTGTTGTGGTGGAAATGACACTGATACTGTGCGACAGCTATATTTTGTATAAAAAATAATATTGATAATACTCTCACATTAATAACTATAAATAATTTTTATTATTTCACCAGTCCTTAATTTAGATACATTAGTAGTTACCAGATAAATAATATTGTACAATTTTAAATAAAATAAAAAGATACAAAACTAATGATACAAAACTGATCTAATCATCATTAAGTGGATACAAGCCTATGCCTAAACATTTTGAATGACATTGCCAGTGAGTTTATATAAAAAACTATTTATATGAATCAGAATTATTAGCCCCCCCCCTCCCTTTTTTTCTTTTCTTTTTTAATTATTTTCCCAAATGATGTTGAACAGAGCAAGAAATTTTTCACAGTATGTCTAATAATATTTTTTCTTCAGGAGAAAGTCTAATTTGTTTTATTTTAACTAGCATAAAAGCAGTTTTTAATTTTTTAAACACCATTTTAGGGACAAAATTATTAGTCCCTTTACGCTATATTTTTTCAATTGTCTACAGAACAAACCATCAATTTCTTACCTAATTACCCTAACCTGCCTAGTTAACATAATTAACCTATTTAAGCCTTTAAATGCCACTTTAAGCTGTATAGAAGTGTCTTGAAAAATATCTAGTAAAATATTATGTACTGTCATCATGGCAAAGATAAAATAAATCAGTTATTAGAAATGAGTTATTAAAACTATTATGTTTATAAATGTGTCGAAAAAAATCTTCTCTCCCTTTAACAGAAATTGGAGAAAAAAAAATAAACGGGGCTAATAATTCATGGGGGCTAATAATTCAGATTTCAACTGTGTGTGTATATATACAAATAGTGGTGGGCCGTTAGTGGCGTTAGCATGCTGCGTTAACACGAGACTCTTATCGCACTATAAAAAAATACCACCGTTAATCTATTCTCAAAGTTGGGTTGGGAGCTGGGTCTATTCTACGCAAGCTATGATGACTTTCACCTTGATATTTTAACTTATGAACATTTCATTCATCCCCTGTGGCAAACTGG